AATTTTTGCTTCCATAACAGATAAGTAGGTCACGAAAAAGTATGGCACCTGTCGCCTATCTGGTTCTTCAAAACTACTGGACGTCTTACAATGAAATTTTACGTCATATCAAAATTTTGCTTAGTAAATTGAGTGAAATCTTGAAATTTATATTATGGTACGCACTCCACTCATATTAGAGTTCTTGTTTTCAGAAAAACATCGTAGTTTAATAAATTAAATGATATCTAAATAATTACCTTTGTAATGGATGCCACTAAAGAAACTTTAATAAACAGTAAGTAATTACTGGCTTACAAACAAATATTCAGATATTGACAGTTTAGAATACAACACGTTTATGGATCCATTAGTCCTTAGAACAAATTATTCCAGATATATGAATATTTCACGAGTTTCTCCACTTCTAAAAATCAACTATCATGTTTTACGCTGTTTTGGGTTTCTACATTTTCGTCTCAAAGACATTGTCAAACCTCGTCATTCTCTTCGTCTCAGTATCACAGTACACATTCTTCATGCTTTATTGATAGTTTTGCCGTCTATTTACATGTTTAAATATTTCCCGCAATTTTTTTCAGCTTCTTTGATCACAAAATTGCTTAGTTTTTTCCGAGCTTTTTTTCTAATTGTAGCAGGAGGCAGCTACATCATTTGGAGCAAAGTGTATAGCAAAAGAATATACAATACGTTCAAAACTTTAACAGCTTTGGAAAAAAATATCAAAGATTTACGAATAAGTCTAGATTACAAAAATTCGGTTTGGTTTGCCTATGTTCTAATGGCAGGTGAAATTGGATTACTGTTCTTTTGTGGTGTATTGCATCTAATGTATGGTATTTCAACAAAATTTACTCTTCTGCATGTTCTGATAACACTCACAATATATGTGGTCATGATGACCATAGAGATAACTCTATCGTGTCAATTCCTTACTGTCTACAACAACATCGCTTTAATGTTTTCGGCTATCAATTCGAAGCTAAAAGAAAAGTGTTTATCACCTAAAGTCTTTCGGACGTGTATGGGTGTTTATTCGAAAATTTGCAACCTGTTAGAACAATGTAACCACTTAAACACAGTTTTAATTCTAATAGCATTTTCTACACGATTTGTAACCATGACTCTAGACTTATATGGACTCATAATTAATGCTTTTATGAATGGAAAACGAATGAACTTTCCTGTACTTGCTTCGGTAGGTTATTTTGCTTATAAAATGGGAATATTGATTTTCGTTGCTGAGAAAATAAGATCTGCAGTAAGTTTTGGGATTGAATTTAACCTCAAGAATAATATTTTTCGGTTTTTGTTTTCAGGTTATTAAAACGCGAAAGACATTAAATAGACTAACAATTGAGAAGAAAGAAGAAATATTTCAAAATGAGGTAATGCTAGACTTCTTTTTCTTTATACTGAGAACACATTTTAGATTAACACGTTTCTTGTAAAATCACTGCATTATGAAGTTCGAGTTTCAGCAGGTGGAATTTTTGATTTGAACTATAATTTGGCACTAAGGGTATTTTTCAGCTAATTTAAACGTACTTACATTATCATTATTTTTGTTTTCAGATTTTTGTTTCCGTGACAACATATCTAGTCATTTTAATTCAAACGGATCCTAATGCTTCAAGAATAGTCTCTGACAAACTTTTCAAAAAATGATTTTTAATTCAATGCACTACTATTTTCTCTTAGTACAACAAACAAAACATTGTAAATTGACAGAAGTTACAAGTTTTCAGGCTTCAACATCAGTCAAAGTCGTTTTACAAGAAGTGGAAAATAAAATTTTGGATTGTTATTTTCAAATAATGTAGGCACAAATATTACTTGTTTAAGAAAATAAATTCAATAAAAATTAAATATTATTCAAGTCTCGTCTCTATTTTCTTCCTTTACTTTCATATTTTCTCGACGTTTCAGACTCCAAGAATACCAAACAATAGGTCTCCCGTTTGTCTCTCTGTCTGTCGTTTATCGTTTGTGTCGATTTCTATTAGACAAGTAATCTTCGAAACTACTGGACCGACGTAGATGGTAACACTAACCAGAATTTGTCTATTCATCCCAATCAACAATTTGATGACGTCACCTCAAAATTTTGCTTGGTAAGCGTTTTTGAAATTTTATAAAATAACATACTGGTTTATGAATCCGTGTTGAGTTTTACCCTCGGCACCCAGATTTTCTGTATAAGAAAAAATCGAAAATAGCAATAACTGTGACACCTAATTGAATTACAAAATTTTCAGATACTTGTAGCCGTTTTCAAATTACCATTTTGTAAACAAATTCAGACTTGTGGAGTCCTCATAAAAAAATTATAAATTATTATCAGCAAAATCTTCGACAAACGGATGATAAGACCATCAGAATTAACTATGCTCTGACAGCTTACGCTTTTTTTAAGGAATTTTTTAAATCTGAAAAAATACAATCTTGAAAAAATTGTTCTAAGATTATTTACACAGAATTTCTCTACGGTTATTAATCTATTTTCATTTTTAAATCTGCGCATGGTGGTTTTTGTTTGTTTTTTTTTTTGAAAAAAAACTGTTAAAACACAAATTTACCATTTGTCTTAGAAACTAAAAATGCAGTTACCCTGAAACGTTGTTACATATTAACATTTTGTAAACCTTCTGTAAATTGTGAAATTTAATATTAAAGAACTTAAAAAATAAACACCAATGAAAACATAAACAGAAAAGAATGTTCTTCAGAAAATAAGAACACAAAAAAGTCTAATAAATTAAATGATACCGAAACAATGACCACGATGATCAATGAAACTAAAAAAGCTTTAATAATTAATTAACTGTCTAGTTGTAACACAACACTGAAATATTTACAGTACAGTCCACAACACCTGTATTGATCTTTAAAAGAAATCAAATACATCATGACCGACTTCTCAAGCATTTCTCCGCTCCTAAAACTCAACTACCACGTTCTACGTTATTTCGGCTTCCTCCACTTTCATCTGGAAGACATTGTCGAACCTCGTTCTTCGTTTCGTCTAAACATAGCAATACAAATACTTCACATTTTACTCATAATTTTGCCAACGATTTACTTGTTTAAATATTTTCCGCAATTTTTTGCAGCTTCTTTGATAACAAAATTACTTAGCTTCTTCAGAGATTTTTTTTTAATTTTGACAGGGTGCAGCAACATCATTTGGAGTAAAGTGTATCGGAAAAAAATCTACAAAGTCTTTAAAACTGTAGCAGCTTTAGAAAAAAATATCCAGGATTTGCAAACAACTTTGTATTATGGAAGTTCAGTGTGGTTGGCATGTGCACTTATGGCAGGTGAAATTCTATTGTTATTGTTTTGTGGTATGTTGCATCTGATTTATACTACCTCAACAAAATTTACCCTTTTCCAAGTGTCGGTAACTTTCATAATGTATTTCGTTATGATGACCATAGAACTAACATTGCCATGCCAATTTCTGACTATCTACAATAGCGTTGTTTTAATGTTTTCGGCTATTAATTCAAAGCTCAAAGAAAAGTGCTTATCACCTGAAGATTTTCGAAAATGTATGGTTATTTATTTGAAAATTTGCAACCTGTTAGAACAATGTAACCACTTAAACACAATTTTAATTCTAATAGCGATGATTCGTGACCACGACTCTAAACTTATATGGACTCATTATTAATGCTTTTATGAATGGAAAACAGACAAATTTTCCTGTATTTGCTGGCATAGTTTTGTTTTGCTATAAATTAGGAATTCTAATTTTCGTCGCGGAGAAAATAAAGTCTTCGGTAGGTTTGTTTCACTGAGTTTAACTTCAAGAATGATATTCTCTTTTTTCAGGTTGTTAAAACGGGGGATACCTTGAATAGATTAACAATTGAGAAGAAAGAAGAAATGTTCCGGAATGAGGTAACTCGCAGATTTTTTTTTTCCACACTGAGTATAACATTTTGGATTAGTATGTTTCTGGTCAAGTCGCTACATTATGAAGTTAGAATTTCCGCAGGTGGAATTTTTCACTTAAACTATAATTTGGCACTAAGGGTACACTTACCTTTCTAGAAATTTAAACTTAATTATGTACTTGATCACTATTTTTATTTTCAGATTTTTCTTTCTGTGACAACATACTTAGTCATCTGAATTCAAACCGATCCTAATGCTTCAAGAATAGTGTCTGAGAAGCTCTTTGGATCAAAATGATTTCATATTCAGTCTAATAATTTTTTATTAATATATTGTAAAAACAAAAACAATTACAGAAATTTTATTTTACTTCTATGGTTTAATTCGAGCGGATTTTTTTTAAGAATTGAGACAGATGTTGGCTCATAATCACAGATCTCCAACTACTACTAGCAAAAATTAATTTCAGCATTATTTTCACAATAGTTGCAAAGCTTGCATTTCAAAAAGTCGCAAATTCGTTGAAATTGTTAGTTGCCATAATGTAGAGATACTCATACACAAAAATAAATTTTATAAACATTAAACATTATTAAAGTAACATTTTGTGTTTTCTCATCACTCTTCCCAAAAATATTATTAGAATTATTTATTTTTAGTTTCCGAAGATTTAAGACTAATTTTTGTTATTTCGAACGTTCAGCCTGCCATTTATTCAAAAAATTATTAAGACCAGTTACAGAAAATATTAAAAAAAAATTAATATATTAATATATCAGTTTAAAATGATTGAGAAAGTATTTTTGAACTCTTTAAAGTAGTCTATATATACTTAGTTTCAAATACTATAACGTGTCAAAAAAATTATGAAAATTGCGCATAATACCATAATTTAGCGATTACTTAAATTTACTGAAATCTTAAAAAAAAAATATTCATCAAATGTGTAGAGAATGTTTTGAAAAATTTAATAAACGCCATTACAAATTCAAAACTCCTTTGTAGCGTTATTTAGAAAATGTTAATATATTTGGATATGTAAAGAAAAAACAGTTTAAAATTTTCAAATTAAAAAAATGATTTCCACAAGTACTCACTTTTTGAGCTTAAAACACACTACCATTGTCGATTAAAAAAAAAATTCAAATAAACATTCAACGACATCTTTACGATAGGACCTTCCATGTTTACACCTCGCACGTTCTTGGAGTTCTAATTCTTGACGACACATTTGTTGCACGAACCCCACTCTTTTTCTTTCATGTAGAGAACCCTTTTAGGGAACAATCATTTTACAACCAATCACATTCGTCCGTCTTCATATATAAAACCGACTGGGATATTTAAAAAACATACGTGAAAATTACTTTCCGTAAAAGCAGTATCAGCCATAGTGTCACTTCGTTTCCACTTTGCGTAAGTGTTTGCAATTTACTATAATTAGTTAGAGGATGTCTTCCAACGTTTCTTAAGGAATTAGTATTACTTTAGTATCATTGAAAATTGTTTTTTTTTTGTGAAAACTTTTATAAATACTTATTGTATGTAGTAAAGAAACTGAAACAGCTAGTTCCAAATTTGAGTAAATCGTTTGCGTAGGAACAAAATTGATTAGGAAATTTAATAATAGGTACTTGAATTAATAAATTACCATTTGTTACCAATGTATCTTATTTGCAAATGTTAGCAAGAAAGTGTGGCACGAAAATGGATTTTCCGGTTTAAAAAATTTGTCAAATGGTTTAGCATTGCATACCGACAGTGCAGATCATATTTCTTCAATCTTCAAAAATTCTTCATGTAAGTTAGTTCTTACGAGGAATAAAAGATAATACTGCTAGGGCTTTCGATAATGCACGCAGAACTGAAATAGAACATTTTTATTTTAAAATTTGGGAAAATCGGCAAAGTTAAAAGTTTTATCGATATTACAAGAATGTACAGGGTTATTAAAAAGTATGGAAGTAGTTGAATCTCTCGGGTGCGGTTAGTTGGGTCTTCTTCAAATTTGGGTTCCACTTAACAATACTCAAGCTCTATTTTTCGAATTTTTTTAGACTTTACACTTCATTTGTTTTCAAGATACAGGACTAGCTATTTTTTTTTAAATAGCACTAGTAGTCAATTGGTCAATTTTTGAATAGAATAGTTTCTTTCTGAATTCAGAACTGGAATACAGGCATACATTTTTTTAACTGAAACGGCAAATAAAATGATAAATTATATTATTTATTATGAATACATTCTAAAATGGAAGATAGTAGTTAGCTTTGTGTTCTGAAAAGCAAATTTTTAACTAATGACGAGAACTCTTATAACATCATGTTAGGTGTAACTGAAAATCCAAAAACTTTAGTGCAGCAATTGGCACTAAACCACAATATGTGTAAAAGCTCAGTTAAAAAAATACTCAAACGGGAAAAATATCATCCAAGTAAAATTCATTTACCACAAGAATTTAGTAAGGATGACTTGCACCGCAGAATCGAATTTTGCGAAATAATGGCAGACGGACTAAATCAGGATGGTAAATTCATAAACCAATTATTACTTTCTGATACGCTGGCACCTTTATTTCAGTTTATGTACCTTCAGTTCTATCATTTTTACAATGATTGGAAGCTAGTATAATTTTTGAATAATGTGTACTACGCCAGGACTGTGACAGATGATAATATTGTCAAGGTCGGCTACGATTTTCTGATTTTCAGTATTTTTAGTTTGATACTTTATGGGAAAAAATAAAATAATGCATGAGTTACATTTCTGAATTCAGAAAAAATACACTATTTAAATACTAGATATTTAAAAATATTTGAAAAAATTGGTCGAAAGTCGGTTCGACAGAACTTCCCTCGCACTTAAAGTACAATGAAACATACCCAGCATTTTCGAGTTGAGTTTTTTCTAAAAATAACAGTATTGTATTCCCAAAATTTTCGGAGAAAATGGAGTGAGCCGATCCTGATTTAATAAATAAAACAAATTGATTCATTCATTAATTTTTTTGGGACACCTGTCTAAGCAAATCTAAAAAATCTGAATGCGATGATAAGTAAAGTCGTGACATTTTGCACATTTTGGGGGGAATAAACAGATATATTTTAATTAACTGTTTACCATGCTTATAATAACTTTAAAACGTCTGCAGGATTTCAGAGTATTTAGTTTTCCAATTCTTCATTTATTCAATAAAATAAATTCACGCATTCATTAATTTTTTTGAATTACCAAGTATAAGCAAATCCAAAAAATATGAATGGAATAATAAATCACAAGTATAGACTCATTACATTTTGGACATTTTAGACATGGAATTATTCGGTAAAATTTTGAACTGAAGTCATGACTTTTTTGGAAGGCATAAGCAAATATATTTTGATTAAAAATGTATTATGTTTATCATAACTTTAAAACATCTACAAGATTTCAAAGCATTAGGTTTTGCAGATTCAAAATTAAATTGCAAAATGTTGTTTTATAATTTTGATTTTTTTCCAAAAAACTGGACGTGTGGGGTAAAAACTTGACACGGAGTCATAAACTACTAGGACTACAATATACACCAACGGCAGCTAAGAAGTTTAATTTTATATTGATAGTAACGTGTATAGTAGTCGCAAAAAATTTTATCCTCGTAGGGAGGTTATGTCATTTGCAAAGAAAAGGCTCATACTTGCCAAGATAAGACTGATTTTGGCAGATGACCTATTATTTTCTTAGAAGAGTAGGTCATTGGCCAAAATGAGTCTTATTTTAGCAAATACTAGCCCGGCCCACGCGCATTTTATTTTCTTAAAGGATAGGTTATTTACTACTATATTATGTTATTTTATACAATTTAAAACCTATTTACTATGTACAATTTTGAAGTGCGTCATCACATTATTGGTGAGGATGTTTAGACAAATTTTAGTTAGCGTTTTACCATATCTATGATATTCCTAATATAAATACAAAATTTGACAACAATCGGAAATTATCTGACAGACAGACAGACTTACAGAAGACAGACTGACAGACAGACAGACAGGCAGACGGAAACGGCGACCTATTTCTTCGTACTCTAGGGGTCGTAACGGGTCGAGAAAACGTAAAAGTAAAGAGTAGACTGACGGACTCGATTACAATACTTCCTAAGTGTAAGCGAATTGCAGAAAATAAAACTTGAGTATTCCTAGAGACAACCCAAACTTCAAAAAGATTCAACTGTTCTCTTCAACTGCTTCCATACTTTTTAGCGACCTGTATGTTACAGTATTGCTTTTTACTGTCAAGTACTCAAGTACGTTTTTTTTATTAAAAGTCCACTATCGTCGCAATTTCTTCCAATAACATTAGGAACAACAAGGCTACGAATTTTAGTGGAAAACGAAAATAAAGTTAGGTTAAGTTATTTGTTTTGTGCTATGGTTTTGGGGCATTTGTAAATGTCGTTCTTATTTTAAAATCCGTGACTGTAGGGTTTAAGCAATTCCAAAATTGTAAGATGCTTCAAAATACTTTTGAAATTATTTTTAATTGGTACGTAGAAAATTTCTGCCTCAAAGGTGACAGATTAGGATAAAACAAATTTAGAGCGTTCACAAGGAACTGTTGCTGTTAGCATCACTTATCATTCACAACCATAAAATATGTAGAACTCATTGCTTTTCTAAATACAAAATTAAACCCAAAGTGTTGAGAGTCCAATTTGTCGGAAGAATATTCAAAGGTCCGAAAAAAAAAAACTGAATATAAACGCTTCCCTTGGTTTTCCAATAATTTAAGATTGCATGTATTAATATTTATTTGTTTGTGAAATCCAAAGTTAACCTAGTGGTACTCAAGAAATCTTTCTTTTTCAAGTGGATTTAATCCGGATCGAATGCGCTTTTCCAACTTTATAAAAGCCCTAGACTCGGTTCACAAAAAGCGAAATTAAAGTTAATTCGCGATTAATTTTTAATTGAGGTCCTTTTCTAGGCAAGGTGCATGTTCTAACCAAACACAGGCTTATATTCCACAATTTAATCTTCTGTTAAATTAAGCGAGGATTAAATATTTAATTCGCTTTTCTATAAACCGGCCCCTAGTGTAGTAGATCTACATCGGGATCCTTGATTTTTATAAATCATTTTATAATACAGAATACAGACACTAAATTAACAAGTTAATATTTTCATTTACATTTGTAGCAATAAAAAAGACCCATACACCCCGTTATTTGTTGCTAGTATAGTTTTTTTTTTTTGGCTAAGAGTGGAAAAGTTCACTTTGATTATTTTGCTAATTTATTATATTCTAAAATCATTGAATGTGCTGTTCCTTTAAATCTTGGATACACTAAAATTTAAGATATGACGTCACCTGAGAACTGGTTTGGCTCAGAGACCAGTATTTGAATACATTACGTGGATATTGACTACAAGTAGCTATTGTCGAGCAACCAGAGAAAATTAGCAGTGATACTGTTTAAAACTGTGATAAATGCAGTATATTTGGATTTGGAAATAAATTATTCGTTTCTCTGTCTATGTATCAGTGACAATTATGTTGACTGCAACCCAAATCTATTTGATTACCCCTAACTCCACAATATCTAGTACTTAATATAGTTATACGCTTTTCAATTGAAAATGAAAGAATTATTTGTACTGGTAGTTGTCAACAATTGTATAAATATTTCCGTTGGATTCCTTTGCGAACTCTTTGTCAATTATTATTTATGGTACTATGGTATGATCCCAAAATGTTCAGAGAAAGGGAGGCTGTGGTGTGTGCACGTAAACTTGTCCTATTTCTTTCCAATACATTAGCTCTACCTATATATTAGCTCCTCTGTCTATCGTCTCCTATCATAGACTCCTTTTATCTAAAAAGTATGCAGTATTTCCCGCGCAAACCATAGAGCACCGGAGCAGTCGGATCTCTAGATTGCCTGGCCTCGTGATTTGTCACATATTTTTAGATAACATACAGTTTCCTGAAATTGCCAAGTATGTACTACTAAACTACAAAAATAAATAAAGGGCTAAATTTTATTCTCAAATTATAAGTCCGAATTAAACATGCAATGTGAAAAGTTAATGCCATTAACCCTACTAAGTATAAATTAAACGTCATTGTTTGCTAACTACATAATTGATTAATCTTATTGTTTTAGTAAGGTAAGATATTACACTAGACAGAGACTTGAATCCTTTTTTTACTAATTTTAATAACTCTTGTAAATGAGTAGATATTTAATAATAAAGCAATACATATTGTTATACGCAAAATAGTATATTATATTATTAGGTTCTAAAGTGTATCTTTTTTTGACGAGCAATGATTTCATTTGCGAGGCGGAGCGAAGCGTAGCCGAGCGAAAGCAATCATTGCTTTCGAAATTTTAATTTTCATATTACTTTTAAAAAATTAAAAGTTTATCTATTATTTGTGATTATTGATGTAGAAATATCGTTTCTACAAATAAGAACACTACAAAAAATTGTGAACTCTTTTACTGGTATGCAGCATTACAAATCTTATTCACTAAAACTTTAGAGAAAATAAGTTCCCGAGAAAAAATTAAATTATTTGTTTATCGAACAACAAATCTATTTGAAATTTAAATTTGTAAAATTAAGAATCTAATAATTTTAAACTCAATCTTTCTTAAAAAAAAAATCGAAAATATTTGTAACATCTATAACAAAAAAACAGAGTTGCACAAATTACAGTTGCTTTTTTTTAATTTCAGATTTATCAAAATTGTTAAGTCTCTTTTTCATTTATTTCACATTATGAGTTATTCCCATATTGTTCTGCGCGTGAAGTTGAATACGATTTCTTTCCAAACCCCAAACCTAACGCTGAAAAGCAAAACAGCAAGCAAGTACGTAAAAACGGATAACGGTACTGTATCGACTTCTGCTTGGACATGGGGCAAATCAGCACTTAATCTAAACCATCCATGGGCAACATACGGCCCGCGGGCCAAATGCGGCCCGCCGACCGGAAACTTCCGGCCCGCCAAAGATTTTTTGATTGGTGTAACTTTGGCCCGCAATGTGGACAATCGAATTCCTCAATTAAAATTAACGTTTTCAAATTTACAATTTACATTTTCAATTAAAAAAAAACAATCCAAGTTTGAGAAGATAAATTCCAATGCCGCGTCCCGACAAAACAACTGTTTCACGCATAGCAGAGTGGGATTAGGTGAAATCAAAAACAATTCGAAGAAATGTGTGCATGTGATATTATTGCAATTCAGTTATTATTTGTCGATTGAGGTGTAAGGATGGCATCGTCCAGCAAATGCAGAAAAGTCGACAACGAATGCCGTAGTTTTCAAGAAAAGTGGACCAACGACAATTTTTCTGTTTTGCATAAAGAAAAGCCAATTTGTCTGATATGTAATGAATCTGTTGCTGTTTTAAAAGAATATAATATAAAACGGCATTTTACAACTAAGCACTCCCAAAATTTCGACAGATTTAGTGGTCAGATTCGAACGGACAAAATTGAAAAATTAAAGAAGAATTTATTAACACAGCAAAATATTTTTTTAAAACAACACCAAGAAAGTAACGACATCGTTCGTGCAAGTTTTGTTGTTAGCCAAGTAATTGCAAAACATTCAAAACCATTTTCTGAAGGAGAATTTGTTAAACAGTGTCTAACTTCTGTAGCTCACATACTTTATCCGGACAAAGAGAAGAAATTTTGCAGAAGTCAGTTTAAGAAGAAGAACCGTGACTAGAAGGATTGAAATGATGGGTGAAAACATTAAATTTAACTTGGCTGAAATACTCAAAACAGGTGTATTTTCCATAGCACTCGATGAGATTACTGGCATAACGGACACAGCACAATTAGCTATTTTTGTTCGTGTTGTGGACGAAAACTTTGTTATAACGGAAGAGTTGCGAGCACTTGAACGAATGAAGGATACGACGACAGGCGAAGACATTTTTCAAAAGGTGGTAAATGTTTTTGAAAGTTTTCAATTACAATGGGAAAAATTAAGTGGAATATCTACAGACGGTGCTCGTGCAATGGGAAGTGTAGTATCAAGAATTGCATCGGAATCGCGTGATAAAAATGTAAATATAGACACTTTTTTTGCATTTCATTGTATTATACATCAAGAAAATCTATGCGCAAAATCAATCAAATTTCGTAATGTAATGGAAGTTGTGGTGACTTGTGTAAATTTTTTAAAATCGAGGGGTTTAAATCATCGACAATTTAAAGAATTTTTGGAAGATCTTGAGTCAGAATATGGTGACGTTCTTTATTATACCGAAGTACGCTGGCTAAGTAGAGGGAAGATGTTACAGCGCTTCTATAATTTGAAAAGTGAAATCCAAATTTTCATGGAAATGAAAGGGAAGTCAATTCGTCAGTTAACGGACGAGGTATGGAGAGCCATACTTACATTTTTAGTTGACGTTACCGGGTACTTAAATGACCTTAATGTAAGTTTACAAAAAAGGGGACAATTTATACGTGAAATGTTCGCACACATCAAGTCGTTCCGAACTAAACTTCAACTATGGGAAATTCAGTTACTTGCAGAAAATACTTACCATTTTCCTACACTAGCTAATTACAAAAATTTTGATTCTGCGGCTTTGGCAAATGAACTAAACGTATTAAAAGAAGAATTTTCAAGGCGCTTCCAGGATTTCAGTAAACATGAAAAATATTTTCACATATTTTTTAATCCTTTTGGCGTGGACGTAGAAATCATGCCAGAGAGTTTACAGATGGAGTTGATAGAGTTTCAATCAGATGATGCCCTGAAAGCCATGTTTAATGGGACTTTGCTTGAATTTTATCAAAAATACTTTCCCAAAGACAAATACCCAAATTTTAAAATTTTTGTGTGTAAAATAATGTGTCTCTTTGGTAGTACATATTGCTGTGAGCAATTTTTTACGCAAATGAACTATACAAAATCCAAAAATCGATCGAGAATCACGGACCAAAATTTAGAACACACCTTACGAATTGCGTCGACTTCTCTTAGTGCTGATATTGACGGCATGATAAAAAACATTCAATGTCAGAAATCCCACTAGTATACTTGCTAATGCCATTGAATAACTATTTTTAATAATTTCACATCACTATGTGATCACATATATTATTTTGAAGTGTCTTTTTGAATATTAAATTTGTTTTAATTTTATAGTGTATTTGTTTTTTATTGTTTACAGTACGTTTCTCCTGTATTAAGTGTACCATTATTTTTATTATAATATATAATAATTATTATGCATTATTATTTATTTGGTGGCCCGCGGTTGCCCGATATTTTTTCCGTTAGGCCCGTCTTACAGAAAAGGTTGCCCATGGATGATCTAAACTATGTTTCGCTTCGCTCAAGTGCGACATGCGGCAAATCTGCACTAAACAGCAGAGGCGAAAATCCCTCAGACGCGTTCTGCTGGTCTATGCCCCAAACCAGTTCTCAGATGACGAATTGAGTACCGTATGTATTGGTATATAGATTCAATAGTGGAAGTTAATTTAATACCTCTATATGTGATTTTTTAAATAAATACATAATATAAATATAACATTATAATTGTTTTGTTTTGTTATAGGTATTTGCAGAATTGTGTGTTGGCAAAAAACGAAAAAAATGTCAAAACCAAGTTTTGATATCTTACGTGATCTACAAAATGATGAGATATCGAAAAAGTTTTGCGATTATCTAAAGGGAAAACTTGAAGAACTTATTGAGATCATTAAGCAATTTGAGAACTTTCGTTACATAGCATCTGATTTTAACGAATTAAAAACCAATAACCCAACCATAGAAGATATAAAGAAGAACAAGAAAAGGGAATTGCAAAATATAGTTGAGAACGCGGACTTTGCGCACACATATAAAAACTTTCATGATGGTCATTAAAACAATAAATTTTTAATTTTCTCTGTAAGATATGAAGTAAAAATAAAAATAAAAAATAAAAAGCCTAATACCTATCTCACCACATTTCAACTTATTCCACCTTACTTCTCTTATCCATATCCATATCACGCATAAATAATAATCTATCGTGCATATTAGAAGCAAAGATAAAATGACTGTTGATTAGATAAGTATTTTTTCAGTATTTAAGAGTTAGCTTGCAACTATTTCAATCAATGTTACAGCAGAAAGAAAATTGTTTCAGATAAATCAAAAAATTATTAAATACTATTGTTTTTAAGAAAGCTTGCCTGAACTTTAGATAAGTGAGTACTTTTCAAATTATTATTAACTAGCTTTCCGCCCGCGGCTTCGCTCGCGTAGACGATTCGTTGTGTTGAAGAGCATTATTACCAACCTTCAAGTAAAAAATGTGTTGAAGGGCATTAATACAATTTCCAGTAAAAATTAACATAAAAATATTTTTGTTCATAAAAACTTTGTCACCTCCTTTTATCTTCTTAGGGGTGGATGAAATCTCGAAACAATCTGATATACGTGTTTCATTATTTGTGTTGAAGAGTATTCATACCAAGTTCCCTGTAAAAATTTAAATTTACAGTACAAATATTTTTTTCATACAAACTTCGCCCCCACTTTTCACCCCCTTAGGGGTGGAATCTTGGAAAATGCTTAAATACGGGTTTCATTCTTTATATTGAAGAGCATTAATTTAATATCAAGTTTTACATACAAATTTAAATTTACAATAGAAATACTTTTGCCATACAAACTTAACAAGTACTTTTTACCCCCTTGGGGGTTGAATCTCGGAAAATACTTAATACGTGTTTCATTATGCATTAATACTAAGTTCCACGTCAAAAATTTACAATAGAAATAATTTTCCCAAATAAATTTAGCCACCACTTTTCACCCCCTTATGGGTTGAATCTCGGACAATGCTCAAATACGTCTTTCATTATTTGTGTTGAAGAGCTTTAGTACCAAGTTTCACGTAAAAATGTAAATTTACAATAGAAATATTTTCCCATACAAACTTAGCCTCCACATTTCACCCCATTATGGGGTTGAATTTTAGAAAATGCTTAAATACGGGTTTCATTATTTGTGTTGAAGAACATTAATACCAAGTTTCATGTAAAAATTTCAAAATATAGTAGAAATATTGTCCCTATACAAACATAGCCGCCCAAACTTAGAGACCACTTTTCACCCCCTTAGGGGTCGAATCTCCGAAAACGCTTAAATACATGTTTCATTATTTGTGTTGAAGAGCAGTAATACATGGTTTTAAATAAACATTACCATTAAAATATTTTTGCCAATACACACCTCTTTTCGCCCCCTTAGGGGATGAATTTCGAGAAATCCCATCTTAAACGATGCCTCCAGTATAAAATAAACATTCTCTCCAAATTTCAACTTTCTAGCATTAGCGGTTTGGGCTAATGCTAGAAAGTTGAATAGGTCGGTCGGGGCATTGCCTTTTATATACAGTGCATCTTTTTTAAAAGTGGCCATAGGGACTCCCATGTTAAATTTTATACCCCATGTTAACTTATGTTTGTGTAAAAATTCAGAGCTGAAATTTTTACTGGATGTAACTTGGGTTATCTTTTGTCGATTTTATTAAAAATCATGTTTTAAATTAAAGGATATTTCTTAAAAAAAATTAAAATATTTGGATATTTTTGTCGCTAATATTGTAGGCAGCCATGTAAAATCAGACATTTACCTGACGTTTCTAAACTTTGATTATTCGTACAATTACTGTTTTTTTGTGACCGAAATTCGCCAACATACCGCAGTACACAATTAAAGAAAAAGTAGAAATGGTCACTGATGGATACATTAAAGCCTTATCGGCAACAGAGAAACTCCGCAAAATTTTGCTGTAGCATTCCCACATCGTGCCCATACCCGGCAAGAGCACATTTTGAAAATTTTGTGGCAGATCTATAAACACAGTTTTTTCGATTTTGGACATTGAAAACGCAATTTGAGTGAAATTATCTTTTATTATCTTCATTTAGGTTTGAATTCCATCATTTCGTTTCTTTTCTAAAAACTGCAATTAAGGTATTTAATGATTAAATCAAAATTATGCTGTCAAAAATGACAAGTTAAAATGATAAGTCAAAACCGTCTATGATGTTCCAAAACTTTTTTAATCAAAATGATTTTTAATTTTTAAAGCACAAATTAGCAAATTACTGCAAAAAGTGGTAGTGAAATTTAAAGTAGAACCCTAAGGTTATTTTCTCCGCAAAAATCAACTCTGGGTTTTCACCTTAACAAAAGTTAACATGGGGTCTAAAATTTAACATGGGAATCCCTATGGCCACTTTTAAAAAAGATGCACTGTATATCTATATATAGATTAATGATCTTTTATTGTAATCTAGTCCGTCGGCCGACTTTGTACTTTTACGTTTTCTCGACCTTTCCGTTTCCGTCCGTCTGTCCGTCTGTCTGTCCGTCTGTCTGTCTGTCGGTCTGTCTCTCTGTCCGTCTGTCTGTCTGTCCGTCTCTCTGTTCGCCTGTCTGTCCGTCTGTCTGGAAAAAAAATCAAAATTATAAAACATTTTGCAATTTAATTTTGACTCTGCAAAACCGAAAGCTTTGAAATCTTGCAGATGATTTACAGTTATTATAAGCATGATAAATTTTTAATCAGAATATATTTACTAATTCCCTCCAAAAAATTGATGACGTCAGCTCAAAAGTTTACCGAATCACTCTTATCTAAAATGTACAAAATATGATGAGTCTGTACTTGTAATTTATCATTCCATTCATATTTTTTGCATTTGCATATACAGGGTGACTAAAAAAAATTAACGAACGCATGAATTTATGTTATTGATTTAATCAGGAACTATAAAACCAAATGGTAAAATGTAAATGGTTAGTCAAAATGTATTTGTTAATTTTTCCTAAAAAATTTATGACGTCACCTCAAAATTTCGCTGAATATATCTTAAATGTGCAAAGCATGATTGTGATTTATCACTGCATTAATAATTTTTAGATTTGCTTATACGGGGTGTCTGAAAAAAATTAATGACTGAATCAATTTATTGTATTGATTAAACCAAGAATTGCAAAACTGAATATGTACTTTGAAATTTTTACCTTTTTGAAGCATGGTAACTTTTTAATCAAAATGTTCATGTCTGTTCATCAACCCCAAGATGAGTCAATTTATTTTATTGACTCCGTTTTCCCGGAAAATTTTGGGAATACAACACTATTATTTTTAGTATTACATTGCACCAATCCAAGTTGACGTATGTGTCCTTGCAAAAATGTTGATAGTGTCATTAAAAAATTGTGTAAAGGAAAAACTTTAATTGTGTTGTGGCATGTTGACGAATTTCGGTCACTAAAAACCAGTAATCGAACGAGTACCTAATCCTAATTTTAGAAAAGTCAGGTAAATGTCTGTTTTTACATGGCTACCTATGTTACCGCCAAAAATTTCCAAATATTTTTGTTTTTAAGAAATATCCTTTAATATAAAGCATAACTTTTCATAAAATCGACTAATGATGACCCAAGTTACATGCAGTAAAAATTTCAACTCTGAATCTGAACTCAAAAATAAGTTAACATGGGGTATAAAATTTAAGATGGGAATCCCTATAGCCACTTTTAAAAAAGAAGCACTGTAGACTATTAACCCAAATTTTAAAAAAGTTCATTCGTTACATTTTAAAAGTCACTGTTTCAATTACTATTAAAAATTTTGTTTTCTTATACGACAATTTTCGACATAAAGCATTTTCCAATAGTTCTTTAACACAAGAGGATGTTTGTGTTTTTCGCAATACAGAACAGTTTCCATATTTTTCTTAACATCTGCGTTTTTTACAGATCTCAGCGGTTGTAATAATTTTCTCAAAATATCATGAGTCAAAACTTAATAAAAAAACTGATTTCTAACTCAAAAAATGAAGACGGCCGCAAAGAAAATCTCAACATCCTCAACGGCTATATTACGAACTCTATATTGATTCATGACTATCTAAACGTATGTTACAAAGGAGAACACACAGCTGACGCAGAATGGTTAATTAAACACAAAATAGATATTACCAAAGTTTGTGTCGAAACAATTGACAAAAAAGATGTAAAAAAAATTGTGACACCTTTAGAAAGGTCCTGCGAGCGACAGTATGTGGAAACTATCAACCCATTAATAACAAATTTGGAGAAACAAACTTTAGAAGACAGAAATAAAATACTGTGTTCATCGCTAAGCATCACAATAAAACGTTTAGGTGACGATGAAGCAACCTATAAAAAATCTAATGAAGAACCTGACGAAAAATTTGATGAAGAATCTAATGAATATATAGAATGTTACAAACTGGTATTACAAGCTGTCAAAAGGATGAAAGATTTGGACACTGAACAATATGAAGATATTTTCCAACAAACACCTCTGTTTTACGCCAACTACTATAATCACCCGAAGATTGCAGTGGAAATTCTTGAAACAGTATGTTTGATAAATGACCGTAGCGGTGTTAGTCCTATCTATCAAATAGATACAAAGACATTAGAAGAACACCTAGACCGGTGCATAACTACAGAAAAAGGTCCATCCGACAATCCGGGAACACATATCAAGTTTAACTTTGAAACATTACTATGTAGAGAAAGACATAAACATGAGACCAGCAAAGCTCACAATGAAACAGAAGTTTTGTTCAAAATTCGTAATTCAAACAAATTTGATAATCTCCTTTTGCATCCTGTTATCGTAGCATTTTTGTTAATGAAGTGGAAAGGTACAAAATTGTATGAGATTTTTTACTGGTTTCGTTTATTTTTTTGGGGTTTTAATACAATACTGTTTATGGTTTATACAAATGTCTTACCATATTATTTTTGTTTGAATAATACAAATATCTTACCATATTATTTTTGTTTGACTATGCACATTATTTATCTTATATATGTAGTCGTTGAAACAATAATAACGAAAGACTTTTCTCGAAGCACATGTGTACGTACTATTATTTTGATTTTAATGTTGATTTTAATATTGATTTTACTATTTCATGCAAACACATGGTCCAAATTGATAGCATGTTTAACTATAGCCTTGTCGTGCTTTGAAATGCTTCTGCTTTTTAGTGTGCGCTCTATATATGGAGAAATGGTTAAAGTGGTATTTGTTAACATAATGAAACTACTATTTTGGTATTCTTTTATAGTATTGCTACCCCTTATAGTTATTTACAATACAATTTTTGATAATTCCGTAACAAAAAAATGGCCGAAATCGATCGTAAATATTTTTTCACTTCTTCTTGGCAACACAGACTCTGACTCTTTGTCTGATTTACCAACAGATGCATTCATCTACCTACTTTTAATCATTATACTATCAATATCACTTTCTAATGTAATTAATGGAAAAGCTGTGAATGACATACAGAATTTGGAACAACAATCGGATGTTCTTCGTCAAAAAGCAAAAATTCAATTTATGTATCGTACTGACAAGATTGTAAATCTTATACCAGGAAAAAAAAATATCAACAGTACACCAAGTTTGGTGTCAGGACTCATCAATCCTCGTATAATCTCAGACCGCACAAATTATAGTGGTAAAAGCAGCAAGAAGATTATATTTTTTGACGAGCAAATCATCGAATGTCTTAACCTTCATTTTAAAAAAAAGGACAACCCAATTTTTGTTTTTTCAGGTAATTTGGAAATTGATGTTACAAAAGATAATAACGACAAATCATCAGTTTAATAATTCCTCATATTATACTTGATTCATTTAACAATTATCATAATTTCATGTTTTTTATTATTTTTAATTAATATTGTTCGCTTATTGTTATTTGACTAATTGGGTACTTTGTAAAACTTACATTTTAATTTCATTTTAAGTATGTATCGTTATGCCTCCATCTGGTATATTTTCTTTTGTATTCTCATTTTCTGTAATATCATAAATGCATTATTTAAGACCCACCACTGACCCGGAAATGACCGGCATTCAGGCAAGACTTCTATCAATACGGGTACTAAGACCAAATAATGATATTATTATTATTTTTATTACTGTTATTATGTATCTCTATTATTGAGACAATTTTATTTCATAGTTCATTTAAAGATAATATTATAATTTTAAACAAAATTGTCTAAAATAAACAACATCTTCAAGTAACTACCTCTTAGCTATTAGTCACGATTTGTTGTATTTGTTGTGAAGTTTTTGTAATCAAGTCTTATTGATAATAAAAATCTTAATTGTAAATTTTTGTTCTATGTTATTGTTTTTTTCGCCTTTTCATAGATGATGGTATTAACATTGTTGTGACCATCCTTATCCTCTCAAACATTTAACTTACATGAGAAAGTTATTGGAATTTAAAAAACACATATTTTTTTTTTACAGGATACAATAGTTTTTAACATTAGCACAACCACATGGAGAAAGAGCTTAAGAAACTTCGCCAAATGAAAACTTTACTATCAAGATTTTAAGCATTTTTAAGTCTACAAATATCTTACGAAGATGAGTAAAATAATGTAGTAAAGTGGCGACATGAGAATGCACTCGACATAATAAAGGCAGATACCTCTAGAAAGATTTTGGCATTTAGGTTGCTCAAAAAGAATAAGTCCGTTTCTAGGGAAACTAGACAATTCAGACTACAACTCAGAGAAAAATAAAATCCTGTGTTCGTCGCTCTATCTCTTTTTAAAAAGTTTGATACAGAAATTGTAGACTTATTAAACACAATTTGTTTAATAAATGCGAACAGTGGTGCTAGTCCTATCTAGACCCAGAGACCAGATATGTTAAGAAAATACTTTGACCAGTGCGTAAACTTTGGAAATTTACTCTTACATTATATTATTTATGAGTTTTTGTTACGTTGTGTATGTATTTTTTTGAAAACAGAGTGCAGCTCAGATTCGTTCATTTTGAAAATTGTTGTTTATCTAAAAGAATTCTGTGTCAACACATATTTGTTTGCTCATAATTTATTGTACAAAACATTCATGGCACAATGTTCAAAGTCGTGCTTTTTGATGTTGTGGTTTTTAGACGATTCGTTTAGAGAGATTTTTACACTTTTAATTATGGATGTGAAACTTAAAAACAGTCAAACAGGTAAATTTATTTTTCGACAGCACAAAAAAAGGTTGCTGTTTTATCCGGCTTTTCAAACAGAAGGATACAGGTGAAAACAGACCAAAATAAAAATAAAAGTTTTAGATAATAACGGTTACGAATAGGAAACACTAGTTTGACAATCCCTCCCTGGTGTGTTTCTATTTTATACATAAAATTTTGCTCACCGACAGTTTTGGAAATTTTATTTCATAATTCATTTACAAATAATTTTACAACTTCAAAGAAAATTGTCCAAAATAGACAACAAGTTCTAGAATTTGCTTTAGCCCCCTAACAACTATCAACAAAAATTCTCTAAAAATATGTTCAAAACACATATGAAACTGCAGTCTTCGGAAAGTAATACGAAAGCTCCACATGTTCGTCTTTTTCAAACAAAAAACGGAACGCTTACATTGGATATATTACACAAACATTACACAAAAAAATATTCTTGGCGTACACGTTAATTTACAGATATGTGATGGTTTGTCTTAACCTATTCGACTAGTTCTTCGGATGGACAGATTACGCTCATGTAACCGTTGATGTCTTCTGGTGTCAGCTGTCGGATGGCCACTGTTGCAGAATTATCGAAAGCTCCACTCGAAACCAAACGGATAGTTGTAGTTTCGCAAGCGATGATCTCAACGTGTTTTTCTAAAATCAACGAACAATAATTAGCTAAAAAAATTCAATTTGTTTTATCAATTCTTGTTGATTAGTGAAGTCTGTCTGTTATTTCCTCTTTATCTATATCTAGATCCACGTATTTATCTACCTCGGGTGGCAGTTATCCCCGTCCAATATCCATTTCCTGCGCCTATTTCCCCCCTGTTCACTATCTAACAAAAGCTACAGGTTAATGCTTACGTTAGGGCGGTTTATTGGTCTATTTTGGTCGTACACCGGGCGATACAATAAATTTAATTAAGAAGACGCTTTATCTAACTAACCTGGTTTAGAATCCAGTCCGCAAACAGAATCTGCGAGGAGAAGATTGGCATTGTCCAAGCCGCGAGAGCCTCCAACTTGAAGAAAGTCGTCCAAACCACGTTTTTGACACTGTAATGGAAGCTCAAATGAGATTAAATAAATCGGATTTATTTTTTCTTAAAAAAAAGAGTCTACATTAAATTATAACTTAACAGTTGCTTTTCAAATAATCTCTGTCGTTCAATGCATGACTTTATCATTTACATAACGCACCCCTACCACCAACCATCTGTACATGACACGTCACAACAACATTACCTATTTATATGTAAACAACTGCTCTCTGATTAAGCTATTTGTTCTGACATGCAATACCTGCGACCGCACCTTATGGATGGTGCCTGTTTCGAGTTCAATTCCACGTCCTAGACTTGGGACAACTCCAATATTCAAAGAAGCCACCCTTACTGCTGCCGGAAACAGGGTGCTGACGCTACAGTTTGATCTTTTTCCGTAATTTCGCAAAGTATAAATATCTTCGGTGGATTGAAATAGAACGTTGCAGGCTAAAAATAGAAAAATATATATTTGTACAGCAAAGGGAAAAGTCGTGAAAATCTGGATCATAATTCGTAAATAACCCACACCAGCCGGCTACAGACACGATTTTATTCAAAATTAATTGGAAAAAACGTCGGTCGGGGTATGAAAGTTGGTAATTGCTAAACCCTATGTCTTACTAGGGAAAATTCACATTTTGGTGCGTGTAAGGTCAGGTCTGATGAGGAATTTAGCAGCGGTAAATTTTTCGGTTTTGTGGAAGCGTTTAGCTGAAATTTCAGGAGCTGGTATTATCTGATTAAAGATTTAAAGCTGAATAAAACAGGTATTTGTTTAAAATTTCGTGGTTTGAAAACTGTTGTTACAAGAAATTTCAAAATACAGAAATACATTAAATATTTTATTTGATCGTGAAACGAATTTTGGTTGTGTAATTACTAAACGGAACACATTTTAATTAAAAAATAATTTTGTGGCTGCAAAATTTTTATTATTTAGGGGAAATGAGGAACCTTCTCCTGTCAAACTGGTGGGAAATTCGGTGCAAGTTCAAACCTTCTGTTTGCCATATGTGTACATATTTACATATTACATATTTTGGCAACTTGAGATCAAGTAGCGACGTTAGATTAGATAGGAAAGTTTAAATAAAATAGATTCCATTTTCCAACTACATAATTACATATTACGTTAATAATTAATTATTTCAACATTTGCCACTTGTTTATACCGGTTTTTGTATTTAACTCGTATTTTTTTGTACAAAAATTTTCATAGTTACTTTGTAAACTCAAGAGTAACATGAGCATATGTCGTCCGGACCTCTATTAACAAAGTTTATTCGAAACGACAGTTTCGCAGAACTTCGATCTGCACAATAAATTTTGTAACCTAGGGTTTTCATCGACTTTGTACTAGTCTGTTTTATCTTTTTCTTCCAAAGTACAAGCTGGCATTTCTGTTTGTCATTCGTCTGTCTGTCAAAATTGCAGCTACTTTTTTACTTATTTTACAAAGATACAGAACGTTGTTTAAGATTTATTCATTCGGTTTCTCTAGAAAGCGAATGCATCGTCAAAAAAATTAACCAAAATTATAGAGCAAAATTTACCAGGTATGGGTCAATATAAACACGTGGATTTCTCAATTAACAAAAAATGAATAATAAAAAATTACGAAATACAAATACAATGTTGTTTGTTCCTTGGCAATATATTTTCTTAAAATAACTTAGCCAAATGTCATACATGATTGAAGGATATGTTCGACTGACTAAATCAACAACGGCTATCTACACACTATTGCCGAAATTATCAGTTATAATATCAATATATTTGCAATATATTTATTTGTCTTCATTAAAAAAATGGTGGCGTTATCTAAGAGAAATATTAAAAGAGGATTTCTTTGCAAATGTTTTTTGTTTTTATTTTTCAAACTTAATATGTGTATTAGGAATGTCGCATAGATAGTAAAACGCTAACTAAAATGTGGCTAATCATCCCCACCAATAATAGGATGACGTTATCTGCCAAATTTACATTAACATATATTTAAATTCTACGAAATATGAAACTCCTGCAGATGTGGTTTATAAATCCGCATTGAGTTTTACCCTAAACATCTAGATTCTTTCGAAAAAAAAAAATTATATTTTACAATTTAATTTTGAAATTGAAAAAACCGAATGTTATGAAATCAAATTTTTTAAGATTATTGGAAGCATGTAAATCATTAATGAATATGGGGTGTTATTAATAATATTAAACCTTTAGAAAGGAACACAACAACCATTTCCGAATCCCTCCAAAAAAGTATTAGTTTAAACAAAATTTTGACTTGTAAAAACAGTGTTGATTAAATGTGTTATGGGTGTTATTATTATTATTATTATTATTATTAGACCTACAACTGACCCGGAAATGACCGGTATTCGGGAAAGACTTCTATCATTACTAACTAGTAAGTCCATGTAATATGCATTAATCACATTAATTTAATTAATTTTATTATTAATATTAAGACCCACCACTGACCTGAAAATGACCGGCATTCAGGCAAGGCTTCCATCATTACGGGTACTAAGACTAAGTAATGATATGCATTGATTAGATTAACAAAACAACTTTCGAGATTCTAGAATTACAACATACAAATTAGTCTGCTATTATTCTCTAATCTCACCTCATCCCCAAAAGTCTAGCGTAACTACCGATCATTTATCCGCGTATCACTTGGAAAGTGACCTACACTACTTTGACCTACTGGTGCTAATCTAATCTGACTGACATGATCAGACTGTTCGAGAAACTTACGAACAATATGACAACAAAACAGCTTTTTGAATTTTGACAATTATTGAATCATTCAAATGCAAAGACTTTAAATTCTCAATTAAGCTATTTGGCACTACACCTACATTAGAGATAACTAGGGTAGAATTGAAATTTATTTTAGATTTTATTTGAATGATAAAATTATTATTAATTTAATATTGGCAAAAATTGTTTGACTTATTAATTCGTCAAAATTTTTATATTTTATATATTTTTGGACATAATCAAAAATTTATTTTCATTTACCTCATATATTGATGCACATGATGAAGTATACAAGTAATAATTAATATAACAATGTACGAAACCTGTTTCAAAATTTTGAACAAGTTTTCTCTTCTGAAACTATTTTGGAAAAATACGGACACCATTTCAAATTTAAAACTCTTAGCCCCAAAGATGAAAACTGTGGCCGAATATTGTTTGTTCCAAAAACAATTTTAAACTTAATGTGCACTTTGTTATTTTCCACTGTTAAAAAAAAATCTCTTGAGGAATGTTTCAACGCAGACGTAACCAAAAAATATTTTTTAGAAATTGTATGACTTTAGTAGAATAAAATTTAGACTGTTAGAATCGGTGGTATGTTGTTATATCGCCTTTTAAAAACGAAGACAAAATTTTGGATAGCTTCTGAAGCATCACAGTTGCGAATGTAATTCAAGAAAAACTGCAATTTATGACGAAATTTTAATAAACAAAAGCTAAATTTAGCAGGATAAGAGGTGGAATGATAGTGACTTTATAAAAGATTTTGCAGATTCCTGTATCAACTTCTTATAAAAATTCGCAGTGTTTTGGTATCTGACAACATTCGAATTATCTCATACCTAAACTCTAATTACAAATGTATTAAGAATTTTTATTAAGGAAACGACAATTCGTCACATTTCTTGGACAAACAATGCATATTCATATAAAAAAATATGTTTCTTGCAACGAGTTTGCAGTCACAGTTTTAGTAACACCCGTCATCTGATTCAGAAATTTTCGTTTCTAGAAAAGACTGTCTTAACATCTTTTTTGTTTCATTTGCAGACATTTCTTCTGAGGCACCAGCACCCACACATTAAAAAAATGAGCGATAACGACGTGCCAGAAGACTTAGGGAGTGCTTAAATGATGAAAAGAAAAGAAAAATATTTCGAGAGTGGCTACAAAAACAGATTAAGGATGTTGATGAATATCCTAAAAAAGCAGGACAAAAAACAGAACAGCTTATGAGCTTGAACCTACCTATCAAGTTTTTTATGAAAACAGAAACAAAAAATGAACAAGTTAGAATGAGATAATTACCTTATGTTTAAAAAATATCATTAATTCATTCCTGGTTTTTTATTGCATCCTACTAGTTATCCTCTTTTAAGAAGTTCTGGAATTTTTCAAGAAACATTGTATTCAGCTTAACACAATCTTTGAAAGATTAAAAACATAGATTTTGGGAAGTTTTATTTGACCAAGTTGCATTTGAGCAACATTAGATTTTTGGTGGTTGTATAAAAAAATATATTGTAATTTTGTATTGCTATCTTTAATAGGATTAATATACTCTTATCAGTTAAAATATCTATAGATAATAAAAAAACACTGATATTGACGTCGCTGATTTAAACTTCATTTATTCTCACTACGTGTTGTAGGAGTTTTCTACACCAGTGTGTTTAATGATGTCAAATATGAAGCGAAAGAACACAACAAGTTTTCAATAAATTCAATTACAAGTTTAGGTGAGTCTTTCGAGGTAACTTATAAGTGATTAATTAATGTTGTATTAATCACATTAATATATATTTAATTTAGTACTTCTTTTGAAGTAAAATTGTTAATTTATTATCGTTTTATATCTTATAGATTAGCACATTCACTGACTGAGTGAAAGTAATTAAAGAAATCAACAATGAAAACAAGAACGCCTTTAGACAAAGCTTGCTACTTCGGTGATTTAAAAACACTAAAAGAGTTGCTAGAAAAATTAAAGGATTCACAATGCTCACCGGAAGAACTGTGTTCATGACTTTGTACTGCAATCAAACGTTTAAATGACGAAGATAAAGAAGAAAACAATGAAAGATGCTATGAATTAATGTTAAAAACTATCAAAAGCAAGAAAGATTTCGATACAGAACAGTATAAAGACAGTTACGGAAAAACCCCTCTTTTCTACGCCATATATATCACAACAATCCAGAGATTATTATGGACTTATTAAGCACACTATGTTTAATCAATTCGAACAATAGTCCAAGTCCTATTGATAAAGTCGACCCAGAGATGTTAAGAAGACACTTCGATCGGTGCGTAACTGAAACCATAAAGGGAGTTAAAGGTCCGGGAATTAACATAACTTTTAACTTTGAAACACTTCTTTGTCCAGAAAAACACAAAGAAAATCCTCACGTTGATTCAAAAGTTGTATATGAAATAAGCTGCAGAAAAAAACTCGAAAATTTGCTCTTGCATCCCATGATTTTATGCTTCGTAGCAATGAAGTGGGGCAATAGCAAAATGTATGATGTAATTTTTTGGAGCCGTATTTTTTTTTGCTTTTTGAATATAGCGCTGCTTTCCGCTTACGTTATGACTAATATACGCCCTTTCAAATATTCGTGTTTGTGTACACAGTTGTTTTACGTTTTGTATGTGGTTTTTGAAGACATATTGCAGCTTAAATTTGACCATCCCGAAAAATGGCATTTATTACTACGAAAAGTAATATTGTCTCCAAATGTATTGTTGTCTCTTGCTAGTTTCATACTGGACAGAATTCACGTTGCCTTTTATTCTTACTTTTTTGTGTTTTGAAATGATTTTAGTTTGCAGCATCCGATACATTTATGGTGAAATGTTCAAAGTAGTGCTTTTCGTTGTTGGGAGACTACTAGTTTGGTACATTCTCATATTGTTTATACCTTTGACAATTCTTTACAACGTATTATTCGATAATGCATTTAACAAAAAAATACCGAAATCAATTTTTGACGTCTTTAGTCTTCTAACTGGAAATGTAAATCTGGACGAAAATTCGACACCACTACAAAATTTTTGTACTTGGCTTTTATTATTGTACTGCCTCTGACAGTGTCTAATTTAATAACCAGCAATGCTATTGATGATGTTAAAGAACTAAAAAAGAAAGCAGATATTGTTAGCCTAGCCAAGTTAGCCTAGTTAGAGCAAAAATTTTGTTTATTTATAGATTTGATATCGTTATTAGGAATATAAAAAAGAAAAATTGTAAATCTTCCAAAATTGTTAACCCAATTCCACAGAAGGTGACGGCTTATATTAATTTTCTTAAACGAGATTCAAACACACAAAAATTTAACAAAAAACTAATCGAAAATTTAAACTTATTATTTGAAAGAACACAGAAAACAATTATTGTTGTTTCATCCGGGTTTTTTTACAAACCAAACAAAAAACAAATCGTGGAAGATAATGACACTCCCGAATCGGAGACAATGGTTTGATAGTACAAGTATAACAACAAATTTTTAAAACTATGTTCAAAAATAATGTAAAAGCTCGTCGTTTGAAATAAAAACGAAACACCCATTTTTGTGTACATGTTGATTTATATGGTATGCTTTAACCTATTCGACTTAGTTCTTCGGGTGGACAGATTAAGCTCATGTAGGTAATCGTCTATCTCTTCTGGTGTCAGTTATTCGATGGCCACTTCACTCGAAACTAAAAGGATGGTAATAAAACATAATTTAAATTTAGATATATTGTCTCAATCTGTATTTATATTGTCATAATCTAGTACTTAATATAAATAATAATAATATTAATTTCTTGTTGTTTTTTTTTTCACACACTGAACAACGCATTTTAGCTATTTCTGGTAAAATCACTACATTATAAAGTTAAAATTTCCACCGGTGGAAATTTCGACTGAGTCTAAACGGTGTATTTTTTTTTATATACAATCATTTTACATTTTTCACATATGCAGGATGTTACAATTACAAATGCAATAAATATTCCTAAAAATATAACAAACCCCTAAAAAATGATGTAGGTAAATATTAAATAAGAGCATATTTTTACCTTCAGAGAGTAAACTCAGTACGAAACAATAGGTCACCCGTTTCCGGCTGCCTGTCTGTCTATGTGTCTGTCTGTCTAACGTCTGTCCAGATTTTTATTAAACAGATAATCTCTGAAACTACTGAACCAGTTGTTAAATTTTATATGCGTTCCTATTACCAATATCGTGTAGATGATCAAAATTTCGCTAATCATCCCTACCAACAATTTGTTGACGTCAAACTTTTAAACTTTTTTTACCTGTTTTTCATCTATTTTAAGCTAGTGCATCATGTTTTTAAGCAAACTGGCCAATTTTGGCGTTGTAATTTTATAGGATTGCATACTCCTGCATGTGTGATTCATGAATCCGTGTCAAGTTTTCACCCTAGACAACAAGATTTTTGGGGAAAAATGAAAATTGTGTGACATTTTACAATTTAATTTTGAAATTGTAAAACCGAAAGCTTTAAAAATTTACAAGTTTTTCAAGATTATCGCAAGCATGGTAAATTGTTAATCAAATTTTTGTCGCTTATGGCTCCCTAAAAATGATGACGTCATAATTTAGAGTCCGTGTTGAGCTTTTACTCTAGACATCGAGATTTTTGGGAAAAAATTCAAAATTGTATTTTACAATTTAATCTAAAAATTGCAAAAGCGAATGTACTGAAATATGGCAAACGTTTTAAGGTTATAGCAAAGATGATAAATCGTTAATCAAAATCTATTCTTTAGTTTTTACCATTCGCATCCAGATTTTTTGAAAAAAAAATCGACATTGTATAACAATATTTTACAATGTAACTTTGAAATTGCAAAAACCGAATGCTGTGAAATCCTGCAAATATTTTAGGGTTATTTGAAACATGGTAAACTGTTAGTCATCTTACGTTTTTGCCGAATTTCTTCAAGTTTATGACTTTTTGGGAAAAAACTGAGTATGAGTTAATAAATTAGTCCTTTCCTCTGCGTTGAAGACACAAAATTAACCAAATTTCATTTTCTTTTAATCTCTGATGTTCGTGCTAGTAGTCGAATTCGATCGAAGTATAAACATAGACAGTCGAAGTTAAGTTATACTGAAAAATTGAAATTGCCTACATTTTTTCCCGTTAGTTATCTTTATCTGCTTTCAATATATATTTCATATTTAACGACGTAGGGGTTGCAGGGATCTTAATTACACCACTTTATAGAGGTTAAAAGTTATCACACAACGAAAACCACAGACTCTAATTTTATAATTTTTTAAAGAAGCGGAATTTATCGGACCATACTTCAAAAGCGAGGGATGTTTCGTCAAAATAACCTTCCACAATTTAAAAGCCACTGTATCACTATCAAAAAATCTTTTTCTTTTTTTCCAAGGGCCTTTTATAACGTAAAAGAATATTTTCTTTGTGTTTTTCAAAACTGTAAATATATATAGTCATCTTTTTCTGCGTCCTTTACAGATCGCAAAGGTTCTAATCATTTTCTGAAAATATCATAAGTAGGAAATTAGAACAACTTACTTAAAAAATGAAAAAAACCTCGAAAACGAAACTGAGAAATCTATGCTGACTCATAATTATCTGAAAATATATTGCAAAAAATTTGCTGCACAGCTATTTCAAGTAATTAATAAAAATATAGCCTGTTAATTTTACTTGTTTCTTTACATCATTTTTAAATATTTACATTCTATGAAAAAATTAGACAAAAACTTGTATGTCATAAACCGTTTCATAAAATTTTGCCTAATGTTATAATTAACAATTTCTTGACGAACCATTCGTCTTTCATGCAGAGAACCCTTTTGGGGAATAATTATTTTGCAACCAACCAGAACTGTTCGTTCGTGTTCATAAAGCTTGATTGGAGGACATGTGGTGACCTTAGTCAGTGTCGTTTCACCGTCACAAAGTGTGCATCACATCATTAAATAAGGTTTAAATATTTATAACCTTATTTAGTTTTGACATTTTTGGCAATGCGACGTGACATCTTTTCAACTTCAAAAGTGAAACTGCATCAAAATTTTCAAAATAACAGAAAAATGACGTCCAAAATTTTCTAGTCCCGACTGTAGACAAAATTTTCTTCCTGAAAGCAAAAAAATTGTCAATGTTGTATTTAATTTAAAAAAAATCATATTTTTCCTATCAGTCGCATTTTTTTATTTTCATGTATTTTGTAAATTGCCTATTCAATTCAAAAAAGGGGGGAAGCAACAAAAAAAGAGAGGTGAACAAAAAGGACAGAAAAATGACGAAAAAATTACAAACACATGGAGACAAAAAAAAACTGACAAAAAAAGCTACACATGTATACAACAAGGCCACATTCAGCAAAAAATAGTACAAAAAAAAGGAAAAAAAGAAAAGAGGTGCTAAAAAAGTGACCAAAAAAGCAACAAAAATTTGGTCACCGAAAAAAAAACGTAACAAAAGAAGGCTACAGAAGAAGTCGATCAAAAAGCGAGAAATGAGGGCAAAAAAGAGACAAAGGAGAGAGGAACAAAAAAAGGAGACAAGAAAGGAACAAAAGAAGTGACAAAAAGGCGACTTAAAAAACGAAAAAAAAGGCGACAAGAAAAAGAGGCGCAAAAAGCGACAAAAAAAGAAAAGAACAAATACGACTAAAAAATATAAGCGATATAAAAAAAGTAGAAATAATAATAATAATAATAATAAGAAGATGAAAAAATGTGACAAAAAAAGAAGTGAGGGGGAAGCGACACAAGAACGACAAAAAAAAGGCGACCAAAAAAAAGACGAAAACAGACACAAAAAAAGCAAAAGTGACAAAAAAGTCTACTAAAAAATTAGATTAAAAAAACGTGACAACAAAGATGGAAAAATGTGCGAAAAAAGCCAAAAAAACTTCTGCAAAAAAACGACAATAAATGGTGACCAAGAATGAAGAAAATAAAAGAAAACGCAACAAAAGGTCCTACGGAAAAGACGACAATAAAATGAAGGCAATGGAAACTATAACAATGACGACAAAAAGTTGAAGTAAAATCAACACCACTTAAGCAACCATATCAGAATTCATATGTATAATTGTAGAATATGAACAGCGCTATTTTCCTGGTCGAGTGACAAAACTGGACACAGACGGATATTTTATTTCTACCATGACAAAAAGTGTTTTATGTGACTGGAAATGGCCAGAACAAAAGGACGAAATCCATTATACAGAAGAAGAAATAATAGAAATAATACAAGCACCAAAGAAAAAAATTCACGTGGAATATATTCTGTGCCGGAAATGGCAAAATATAGAGATTTTTCGGTTTAAATTGATCAACAAAAATCTTAAGACTGATTAAAACCTAATAGAGACTGATTGTTAAGCTGTTGATTTTATAGAATATATTTTTTTTTGTGTTCATTGATATAATTTTACATTATGTTCTATATGACAAATAAAGTTTATTTTTTTTATCATTCTGTCTACTTTTATTCGAGACAAATCTCTCCAGTCATGTCAATTACTGGGGTGTCGATTACTGGAAAATCAAAAAATTCCTGCGTCGATTACTGGAGATTTGGAACAGTTGTTTAAAAAATTCAAAATTTCAAAACTACACAAACAAATTCTCATTTGTTACTATAGGAATAAAGAATCATTGAATCTTTAAAATAATTTTCCAAGTTACTTGACCGTAAATCACCAATTTTGACATTTTTTTTGTTTATGTTGGTCTAATAGTGTCACTGGTGTCTTTACCTTATACATTATCATTGCAATTAACCCATATGATAAATAAAAAATTTCTACGTAGTTGACTGAATGATTAGTAACATCCAAAACCGCTTTTTTTATTATGCGATTTGTCCCGATAACAAATGAAAGTCAAGTGTAGGCATACAGCGCTACCTACCAGCGACAGTTTGAAGTTTGAAGAATTCGTTATTGCTACCTGCTTTTCTGATACAGCTGCCGACTATATGACTTTTAATCATTGCACAGATGTCACTACGTTGCCAATTCTTGAAAAATCTGGAAATAGTAACTAGAAATCCCAGAATGGAACTATTTGTCTTCATGACTTAAAATTCTGCTGAAACCGCCAGTTTTTAACGTGTTATAATTACCAGTTTATTAATGAACTATTTTATAAAAATACATTTCAATGTTATAAGTAAAACCTGCAACAATATCACCATTCTTAGTCAAATTATATAAATAAAATATGTCTAATGTGCGTGCTGCAAATGCAGGAAATTAGAAAAACAACACTCTTAATTTACTACAATTTTCTCTTATCTTCAAATATGTATATGAGATTTAAAAAACTAGCCAATAGGACGTTATACCGATTCGTTAAACCTGAAAGTATTAAATTCTCCCAACATACTACGACGTTTGTAGCTAAAATTAGTGTGTTTGTGGTGGCAGCACTTCGAGTACTGATTTTTAAAATTCCCCATCCGTCTCTTAAGTTTCTGGAACATAACAAATAACAATAAATGAATGAAAATCTTGTGAATTGCCAATTACTCCAGAAACGTTGGATAAACCAGAAATGTTAGTTAAAAATGTAAATTATTCCCAAATGGGCTCAAAATATTTTTATTTCAATAGGATGTTGGGGGGAAAACCGAGCTTGAAAGGGCCAGTTCTAGCGGATTATGGTTTCGATGAGACTTTTAATGAGAGCGCTGAGATCGAATGAGTGACAAAGGTATCTTCGGTGTTGTATGAATTCTTGTAGTGCAGTGTGATTTCAGTGTTTTTTTCTTGTCCAAAGAACTATTTTTTTATTACT